TTTTAAAGTATTTTTTTGGGGCTTTTATTGCCTTTATTATAGTGACAGCTGAAGACAGACAGGAAAGGGGGGCAGAGAGAGGGAATGACACGCAGCAAAGGGGCACAGGTCGGATTCGAACCCTGAGCCGCTGCAGCAAGGACTCAGCCTCGGTACGTGGGTCGCCAGCTCTACCCACTGAGCTATCCGGGCGCCCCGATCCCTGTATGATTTTAACATTATCCAGGTTACTAATCATTTGTGCAAGAGTGTCTTTGATTCGTCGACATCCTAGAATCCTGCTTCAAAATCAGTGAAGCATTTAGGCATGTCTTAAAACTGAATAGCTCTGCATTAAAAGTCCAGTGTGTAAGATGTTTTTCTGTACTTACATATTATAGGTATGTTTTCATTAGTGAATAATTACCTGAGGATTCATTGGGTTTTCTTTACCTTAGAATGAGTCATTTTTATCTACAGAGGGAGCGGGTCTGTATATTATAAGTATTTTTTAAAGAAAAAAACCTTGTCAGTGTGCATCTGTTGCAGATTCAGACAGACACACAAAACTGCTTGCATCATTCACTGTTGTTAATGTCATATAATTTATGTACCTGGTCTTGTAGTTAATGAGAAGACAACAAGAACTCATCCCCAGCAGAGTGTCTTTATACAGTCTGCCTATAGTCTTCACTCAGTATCAGGTGTGAGTAGAACACAGTGAGCAGTTTTCATCTTAACAATCTGATGCGTATCCGATGCGCATTGAGACAGACTTTTAAAAGTAGAAAAGTCCTCTAAAAATGTATTTAATTAATTGCTTTTAAAAGATTTCTTCCTCCTCTTAGGTGCCCCTCCAGCTAGTGGCCCAATGGCCAACTGCCTAGCCAAGTGCTTCTTTTTTCATTTTAATTCTCTTCACAGCTGATGTTAGAGGCTGTCCCATATCCAGATGATGTGTGATGGGTTTTCAGCCACATTGTAACTTTTTCTCTTGATTTCCGCAGCAGATCAATGTCTGGCTCGGAGGTGGCTATCGTAGGAGGAAAAAAACTTAATCAAAATACTAAAAATATACGAAACTGAAAACGACAGAAGTTATTTACACATACATGTTTTATTTACTCACCTGCAGGATCAGAATTATAGAATTGTCTCAAATAAACATGTTCCATAGCCCACTCTCGCCTGCTCCACTCTCTCTCCAGCAGTCTCTTCCATCTGATCAGAGGATCAGATCCTGCATCATCTTCACTTTCTACTTCAAGACTAAAACATCTCTTAAACTGGTCATTTTCATGTTGGTCCTCTGTTTGTTCTTCCTCCCAATCTGAACCCTCAGACCTTTTGTCGTCATCACTCACTGATTAGAAAATATAATAATCATGTTAATTTTACAAGGGATGAAACTAATTGACAATACTGCTGGAATGTACTAATGTAATGCATGCACTTGAGGGAAGTGTAAAACCATTGTAGAAAACTGCTTTATGACTGCTGACTTGAACTTTATCAGTCATAAATGTGAAAGTAACAAATGACCATTTCTCTTAGCTTCTCTTTGATATTTATCTATAGATTTTTTGTTTTTTATAACAAAAATATATGCAAGAAATCCTTTGTGCAATTAATATAATAAACAAACAGCACTAAAATATCCCCATGCTGCAAGGTTTTGATTATTATTATCATCAGTCTCCGCAAATAGGGTGTGATGTTGATCATCCTAGTGGGACAATAATGTTTAGTAACTGT